GCCAAAGATGGCTCAGCTCTGTTGAAAGAAGGAAAAAAAGAAGTTGTCTCCAAAAACATAGGCGAGGGTGGGGTTTTTTGGGGGAGGGTGTATTTTTTGGTTTGGGATTTTTTTAACGCAACAAAACAACACAACCAAAAAGAGAAAAAAAAATCAAAAATAAAAAAAGAAACACAAACATCCCAAAATTCAAAGAACCCTCCAATCTTTTACTTACTCCCTGCTCACTCACTGCAGGAGCTTTGTTCTCACTTCTCTCCTCACCTCAGGCTTTCTGATCTTTGCTTCCAAGGAGGGATTATCAAAACCACGATATCGTTGTATCAGAATAACTGGCAGATGTCAGTCTCGTTTAAAAAAGTGGGCAAAGGCATTTGCTTCATCCTGCCTGCTGCAGGGGGGGCTTCCCTGCCTTCCCCTGGTGACACGTGTTGAGTAGGGAAGAATTGTTCTGAAGCAGATGCTGGACATCCAGCTGCTGTTACTGCCAAGGCAAACAAGAGCTGGAGCAGCAGCTGAGGGAAAGCTCTTGTATCTCAGGCAGGGAGACTGTCAGCCACAGCACACCGTGGGGAGAACCACCCTGGGGATGGAAGAGCCCAGCCCGATGCAGAATGAGCCAACCAGCTCCCTTAGGATCAAGGAAAATCCATCACTGTATTGTCACGTTGGTGTGCACCCACCAGTCCTAGCAGCCGGGCCAATTCCCTCTGATGTTATCGCAGCTCCTCTCTTTGTGAGCTCTCTCCTGCGCCAGCACTAACGCACATGTGGCTGCACAGGCTGCCTTGCCATGCATCTTCTCAGTCCCATGGGGGTGCTGGACCCCTCTTTTTCCTGGCTGTGTGTGCTTATACTGGTTTAAGAAGAGGGTATAAAGGTGTTATGCTGTAATACACTGAATAAGGGCTTTATTCAAAGAAAGGCAGAAAACAGGAGAAAGATTCTTGGTGCAGACATATTCTTGCTCAAAGGCCAAAATTACTATTAATAAAAACTACTATGGCAGGAAGGCGAAAACAGACTTTACTAACTAGCCCTTGATATTTACAATGATGTTCACAGCATCATTGGTGGGTGTGGTGTACAGAAATCAAGGGGAGCATTAGGGTCCTAAATAGTATCAGCATATAGCAGTAGTTACTGCAATTTTTTCACTAAAAACTTCTGCCCAAAAATGTAATTGGTAGCTGGGAAAAGGGGCAAAAAAATGAGAATGCAAGGAATGAGGTTCAAGCTCCACTGTTGAGAGTAGGATGCTTGCATGCATTAAGGAGAAGATATTAAAGGAAAGCTTCAGATATATGAAGACAATTTTTGGTTTTTTTGAGGGACTTGGAAAAACTAGGTAGAAATGGTACAATTCAGGAGGCAGCAGAAAATTCCTGGATTACAAACCAAGACTCAAAGGAAGGATCCACTGTGCAATGACTTGGTGAAGAAAGTAGGGGTTTGGGTTTGCCCTCTTACTACAGGGCAGATCTGATCACACCATTTCCAACTCTCACATCTGTGGAAATTCACCTTGTCCTGCTAGAAAGGCTCCAGAAGCATAGTAAGGTGATGTGATGCTTATAAAGCACTCTTTGTTATCTGCATCTTTAGTTTGGCCTCCAGAGAAAGAATGAAAAAGGGTGAAATAAATCACTTCATGTATCATCTCCTGATTATTAACAGTTTTTCTTGATTTCTGAACTTCTTTCATATAGATTGAACATCTATTTTAAAAACTACTTGCAAATTTGTGTTACAAATAATTCACTAATTGTAGCAGTAAGAAATAAATGAACTGCCTAATAGTAGAAAGTCAACTCTATAACTGGCTCATGTTTGAATTTTGCAAGTACCCCAGTCTTCTGCTGAGATTAGTAAATTCCCTTATAACAAAAATTATCAACAAACTCTGAAGGATGCTAAAGTGTGCAAGAACAAACTAGTAAAGCTCCAGTGACAAGACAATGCAAACTGAAGTGAAATCCTGAAAAACAGGACAAGTAAGAGCTTGTTCTTTATAAATTACTAGTAATTTACAATCATAACTTTAATTGCTTCTTTGTAAAACACATGTGATGTTATGACACGCTGTGGAAATTATGAGGCAACGTTTTGTCCCTTCAGTTTTATGGTACTGACAGATGCTGTGTGAGTTTTGAAATTTATAATCCTGATTTTGACATTTCCAGGTACTGCCATTGATTACTGATATTTTGGTTTGCCCTTGCAATGCTATTTAACAGCACAGACAGTCTTGTTTGAGACAGTGTTCAAGTGTAGACATCACTGATATCAACCTGCATGTCCAGGGACAAAACTATTAATTAAGCCTGACAAATTATCAGAATATTCTATCATGGTGTCCACAGAGGCTTAGCTTGAAATACTGAAAACTGTGATCTTTTTGATGATTAAGTGCTGAAGTCAAGCTGAAGCACTTGACCAGTGTGGCTCCAGGAAAGTTCAAAACCAGCTTAAAAATATTGTTCTTATGAAAAAACAAACAAACCATAAAAGATCAAATACGACAATACTACTTACAGAATGAATTCTTTTTTTTTCTTTTTCTTCAGAGATCTCCTTTCAGTAAAACAGACAAATATTTCATGTCCAATTTTCAAATGAAAGGAGATAATTATGTTTTTAACAGCTTGATTTTCATGCTCAAATATTGCTTTCTACTGTGTTTGAAAACATTTTCAGTATCCAAATTTAGATCTTACATGTTTTGTAAGATGGTCTTGAAGTCCTGTCTTGAACACTATCTACGTCATGTTAGGCTATTATCAGCATAAATCAATGAGATGAAAACCCTGATGTGACTAAGCAGAAAAAGTCAGTCTTACCGAATTATTTGCACTGAAATAGTAGCCCATGAGTCTTGTAGGAAAAAGAAAAAGAAATGTGAGCAAATATATGAGCAAGCTGATTAGTATTTGCCAGAGTGTTTCCAAGTATGTTGTTGTCAAGGGAGCCTTTATCATTGCCTGACATCATTCCAAGTGTAATGTCCTTTCTCCCCTGAATGGTTGTATCATGTTGGTCCCGTGGCACTCTGGAGACAGCAGGGGATGATCACTGTGCTTTCAAGTGCTGGCACCTGTGTCCGGGACAAATCCTAGCTCAGACATTTTCCAGTACTCCCTGATCCTAATGGATATACGTATCCTACAGTACTGTGAATTATTTCAGCAGAAAAAAACCTAGTTTGCTCATAGTCACAGATATTACACCTGTACATTCCTAAAGATGTTGAAGAATTGAGAGGATATAAAATCTCACACACTGAACTGGTTTGAGAATGGAAGTGATATCCTGGAAAATGACTGAGAAAATTGAAAAATTCCAGTCTGATTGCAGTAATTTCAGCTAAAGAAAACAATTCATTTTGAATATGAAAAGACCATTAAATCTCTCCAAGAAAGAACCAGTTAAACAGAGTACACTCAAATGAGGAAAAAACCCAGACATTTCTAACAATGGAGGAAATAGCAGCAATCAGAACATGTGAAAGTGATGGATTTAGCAAATGTCTTGAATTTTTCACAGTAAGACTAAGCAAGTTTCTCATCAATAGCACTGATGGAGCATCTGATTGAATTATAACATGTGAAATGCATGAAGTCACAGCATAAAATAAAATTTTGCTTTTAAGCTGCAGGGCTTTGTTTACCTTCAGATTTCCTGGTGACTGAATTGTGGGAAGCATGAGAGGAAATCAAAACAAAATAAACCAAATGTTTGCCAAGTAAGAAGAATAAGATAAATTGGTCCTAGCACAGAAGTTAAAGAATAATTTAAAACTGTGAAGTAAAACAAATGGGCAAATTATGTTCTCAGATGTGTAACTATTCTGATATAGCAGTGTAAACATGTCTATGTGAGCAGATGTATTTACAGCCCTACAAAAAAAAGCATTACCTGTGAGGCCGCTTAATTAGAAACAACTATTTTAGCATAAAGAAGAAAAGAACTGCAGCAAAAAAAAAGCACAAAAGCAAAGAGATTGACCCAAGTAATTCTAGCTCTTTGGAGTGAAAATGTAACTTGTGAGGCAAAAAAATACCTTAATTCTCCATTTTTTTTTCCATAGCAAATTATTGCTCGTTTTCATAATTACTGTTTGCCATCTTTCAAAGGATCTTTTCTAAACATATTACTTGTCAGCAGGTAACACTTATGACTGAGATCAAAGGTATCTTGTGCAATCCTGTCACTGAACTGGTGGTTATCAGTGTGGCACTGCTGTGGCCATTAATGTCAAAAGGCCCTTGCCACTACTGTTTAGGGAGCTGGAGACAAAGGGAAAAGGACAATCCTTTCCTTTGTTTCCTCTCCATGAAAAGAGGCTGACTCCAACCAGAAGAGTCCCACCCTTCTCACAGAGCTCAGACAGCCATTGCCCACATTGTCACATTGCCAAGCTCTACGCCTTGCCCAGGACAATCAGCTGTCACCATCACTGCTGCTGGAGTCACTAGCTACCAGAGAAGAAGAAAGCCTCTCCTAAGAAAGATTTTCTGAGGAACTGCAGGCAAGACTATTTTCTACTGATTTTGGAAGCAGTAATCTGCAAAAAATTATTATAGGGTCACCTTATGCATTGCCAGGTATAACAAAAGGGAGATAAGGATAACAAAATTAAGGGAGACCTCAGTCCAGGAATCACTTAGAAATTCATTGCAAACACCCAAAGGAAAGCTTCTGAATATACATTCAGAATCATTACTTGTACAGCTCTAATCCTGGCCTGCTTCAGTGCATTTGAACTATTCATTCACTTGTCAGCAGATGCTCATAAAAACATGGTCTTTGGATCATCTGTCTTGAGCCCTCCCTGAGAGTGTCCAGCTTAAAGCTACCTCCTCTAAATACTGTGCCATTGACTGGAACAACTATTTTATAAAGGCTCAATTTAGGGAAGAAAATGACCCATGGGCTCAACACCCCCAAAGGAAACACTCTTAATCTAAATACATTTTTGAGAAAGTATCAGGTTCTCTCCTTTATAGGTCAGCAAGTTTATTGTCACCTTCCTTATCACACCAACAGAACGGGAACGTCCCACAGCATGGCTGCAGCCACGGTTTCCACACCACGTTGGACACAGAGAGCTGCTCTGGCACTGGAGTCAGGGTCCTGCGATGCTCCTCTACGGCTCTGCCAATCTTCCTTATGACAGTGTCAAAGAGGGGCTCCGTGTCAGCCGAGAGAGGTTTGGCTTCAGAAGGGTCTTGTGAGAGCTCGAACAGCAGTGGAGGCTCATGATGGGCCACTCTTTCCCCAAAGCATTGGCAAAATCCTCTGTCATAACAAGCCCCAGCTCCAGGAGGACTGAAAATGGGAGTCATGTAATGAGCCTTCCAAACAGCTCCAGCTGGCAGGAAAGAAAGGATCACAGAAGGCTGGTTATAACAATGTCAGTTACAACAAGGAAGAGTGAATGCTTTTCTAGAGTTCATTTCTGGATGCACTTCAGCTCTACACTTACTAGCTAATGCAGTAATTTCTCCTGTTGCTGCACAATACTGGCAATGCCAGTAAGTTCTTTGCCAAGTTACACCCAAAGTACTTGGGAAGACAGAATCCCGGAACAATAATGTGTTAGAAGAATGTGCCCTCCTGGAGAGTGAACATCATTCTTTGAGAGAAGCTGTGTGGTGGTGTTTGCAGGGGTCCCAGGACGAGGGAAGAGAGGAGAATCTTGACTCCATGTTTCAGAAGGCTGATTTATTGTTTTATGATATATATTATATTAAAAGAAAATTATATATTAAACCTATTCTAAAAGAATAGAAGAAAAGATTTCATCAGAAGGCTAGCAAGGAAAGGAATGGAATGATAATAAAATCTTGTGACTGACCAGCGAGTCTGAGCCAGTTGGACTGTGGTTGGCCATTAATTAAAAACAATCACATGAGACCAATCAAAGATGCACCTGTTGCATTGCACAGCAGCAGATAATCATTGTTTACATTTTGTTTCTGAGGTCTCTCAGCTTTTCAGGAGAAAAAGACCCTATCGAAAGGATTTTTCATAAAAGATGTCTGTGACGAAGCAGTGTACTCACTGTCCTTCTGGTGCCAGCGCACGGCGTGCAAGTGCACGCCGCAGTAATGGAACAGGAACTCGTGCTCCGAGTGCGCCGCCGCTCCGCGCAGCAAGGGCAGCAGGTCCCGGCCGTCCATCACCCTGGCACGAGAAACACACCACAGGGCTCAGGTGAGCTGCACAGGGCTCTGCTCCCTCTGCACACCTCTCCCTGCAGCTGGCAGCTCCAGACAGGAAAGGGGGTTGCAGGTGATGGCAGGTAGGGGCTGAATCTCTGAGGTAGAGAAGAGGTGACTGAACTCGTAGATATTGATCTGTCTGAAAAATGAACAGGACTGAAAAAGAAAGCATCAAGCAAGCTCTTAGAATGTGTTCCCAAGCTAGATTTTCCATAGTTTTGGGAAAGCAGGAGGAATAAAGACACATTTGTTTGTACCTGTCCTGAGGAACTTCCCCTCCAGCCAAATGAACTACTGTAGGATAAATATCCATAAGGCTTGTAGGTTCATCAATAACTGTGCCTGCAGGTAACACTCCTGGCCATCTAAATATCCCTGGGACACGGATTCCTCCTTCCCAGCCTCCCATAGCTTTTCCACCTTTCATTAAATAAAAAGAAAAATCAAAAGGTAAGTTTGATGTAAAATAATTTTTGCACAAATTTTATTGTATTATCATGTTACCTTGATGAGCCTTCTTTACTCTCTTGTTTTTGCTGCTAAGCTCCTACTGAGCAGTGGTGAAAATATGTTCAGTAGACTAGAACCCAGCAAGCAATCTGAGAATTCATACCTACAGAGGACATCTGCCCAGGTTAGAATTTACTCCATTCTTACATGCCTGATTAGAATGACACATATTTGCTTCTTGGTAATAAACCAGTGTTACCCCTTGAGTGTATAATCTTACTTAAGCCTTAGGGGTGCCTTAGTTTCTTTACTAGTTGTTGCTGGGTTGTCACTGTCCCTAACAGCTCTTACCTTTGTATATTCCATTCCAGCCACCCAGCTGCCTTCCACCTTCTTGTCTTTCCAGCCATCCACCATGATCAGAGGCAAAATAAACTAGTGTAGTTTCTCTCAAGCCCTCCTTGTCAATAGCATTGAGAACTTGGCCTGTAAATACAAGAATATATGTATATTAAAAAGCAAAAATATCCCTCATACTACTTAAATTTTAACCTCTGACTTGCAAACATTTACCAGTGTAATTTCTTGCCTACATAAGGTTGCTTATTGTTAAAGATTTTTAAGATTGATATTTTTTGTTATGATTTCATTGTCACTAAAACCACAGAAAATTTGTGCTGCATTGTCACCACTACTTTATTATTGGTGTTTTAACAAGGAGTGCAAGAACCACAGTCACAGACAAAAAGCCTGTATTGTCAAGGGCAAAAAAAATACCATGTACTGTAAAAATATGGAAAGAAATGATGATCTAAAAGTTAGTGTCTGCATCAGTGGTGTCCATCATGAAAAATATGGAAAAACATAATGTTACCCTTATTTTATGTTTCTAGACCACAGTTAAGATTTGCATTACATTACTGCATGGATATAATATGCATTAATAATGAGGTGCCTTTAAATTTAAAATTCTTGAGCTATTTTTGACATCCTTAATTATATTTGCAGTATCTAAATGTTTGACAGGTTTGAAACCACATTCTTCCTGAATGTGCACCTGACTTCTCTCTCTTTTGCAAATGTGGGAACCTTTTGTCTATCATGACTGAATGATAAATAATTCTCCTACCCCTCCAGAAAAACAGCCTGAAAAATAACATTAATCCTATTGTGGGGAGCATACTGGAGAACACTTATGAACATTTCTAGATTTATGACTATGGCTGAAAAATATTCAGTATTCTGCTTAATGCAGCAGTCACAAATAAATAACCTGCTGTTTTCAATCTGAAATTAATTTGCTGATCAATTTTATCACCTTCTCATGTGTCCTGCTTAGAAATGATTACAAGAGGTTGAAATGACCTGGTCTTTACTAATCATAGAAAATGAAATAATTATCACATATTTAGTCAGAAGAGCAGGAGAGCTCCTTGACAGGAGCTAAGGGAACATGGTTGAAACTGGTAAACACTTGACCAAAAAAAAAAAGAGAGTGAACATTTTGCCCAAGACTAAAGAAAGTAAAAAACCAACTCTATAAGTCAACAGCACTCACACAAGATTGCCAGATGTTCATTAAATGCTTATGATTTTTTTGTACATGCTTTTAATAATCTTCCTCGCTTTTTCAATAAAAACTTTTTGTTTAGACCTATGTATTTGATAGTTGGAGACATTGTTATATGTCTTGTTGACTTACCCACCATCCAGTCCATCTCCTCTACATTGTCTCCATATAAACCGTGTCTGCTCCTCCCAAGAAACTTCTCTGTGGTGAGGAGAGGGGTGTGGGAATGCAAAAAGGAAAGAAAGAGGAGGAATGGCTTGTGCTTATTTCTACAAAACAGAAATCAACACTGTGTTATTAGGGAGGAAGGCCCTTAATGCAGATCAGTTGTAGTGAAAATTGTATTATTTTTTCTATAGATATTTCAACAGTCCCTTCAGAAACACCTTACTTTGTAAGATACTCTAACCCAGTGATTAGGATCCCTTAGAATAATTTTGGGTCTGTATAAAATATCCTTTTTCTACCCTGAATCATAGATAGAAAATGTCCAGATTGAAGATCCACTTCCTGCTATTGCAAAGCACCACTGTGCTACTGAAATGAAGACAGCAGGTTCATCTCCTGACACTTATCAGTCCAAATGATAAGGCTACATCACAGCTCTACTTCTCCTTCCCTGGCCCACACACACATTTCTGACATCACCTGCTAATCCTTAAAGCTGCAATGCTGCTCTCATTGATAGGTATACATATTTCTTAGATGTAGCCTAGAAATATTCAATACAACCCATGGAAATTGGGAAGTATTAATCAGCTTTAGTGAAGTTAGGAATAAGGGGCATCCTTAAGCAGCAGCTTTTTTTTTTTTTTTAATTACATGATATAACTATTGATATTATTTAAAATGAATAAAAATAACAGTACTTAAAATACTATATAATACTGTAAAAATTATATAAACTTATAAAGACATGAAAGAGGAAAGTGCTGTTTACAGGTTGCAAAATGTGCAAGAACCAGAAAATTTGTGGGCAAAGGAAGTCTTCACCTTTCAATAAATGAAATGGACTCTCTCAAGATAAGGGATGTAGTTCTGTCTGTCACCATTGGCTGCTCAGTAATTCCATGGTTTCTCATCATAATGCAGTTCCAGTAGCGCACAAATCCATAGCATGAGAACCAGGATATGAAGAACAGGAGACTGAACGCAGCAAGGCAGGTCAGTGTTCTCCAGGGGACTGAAATCAGGCCAGTCAGTCTCCCAAGGACAGCAGTGAGTGTAATGAGCCCAATCATCTGAGTGGAAAGCCAGAGTTTCATCCTGAAGCCTCTGTCCATCTCTGGTGTTTCTGTTGGCTGACAGTCACTTATTAGTGTAAAAGGCATCCCATAGAAGTAGTCAAATCCATGTTTTAGAGGGTGATGGCAGTGGTCATTGCGGGATTCACAGTTAACACCTTGATGCCACTTCCCTGAAAACAGAGGTTATTAAAATATAAAAAGATGGTATTTTAATAGAATGGACTTTTCCTTACACAAAACATTTCGCAAAATGTGGTTGGTTGCTTTCTGCTTGTGATAACTGCTTTATCCTACACAGAAATATACCAAGTATGCAGTTATATAATGGGATTGACTAAAGTAAACCTCTACAATTTATAAATTTTCAACATATTTTTTTATGCTCTGTATATATATTCATGCCCTGTAGCTTCAATCAAGCATTAAAAAAAAACCCCAAGCATATAAAGACAACTAGGAATTGAGAAAAATTTCAAACTGAGCAAAAATGTATGGCCTTCCTGGAGACCTGTCAAGTATCAAACAGAAGGAAACTGTCCTTTTGTAAGCATAGGGGGAAAAAACCTTCTTTTATTGTCCCTTTACCTTCCAGGTGCTATGAAGACTTGTTCCTGGGAGGTTTTGAAGTGCTTGGTGTCAGGACTATGGCAAGACTCTGTGTTGGTGCCAGATTGATAAGGGGAGATATGCATAGAGTAGTTAACTAGCAGCTCATCTAACTGCTTGCCAGACAAACCACTGGATCCAGAAAAACTTGAGCTCAGGAGATCAGGACTTCTCATGAAGCTGTATATTTGTAAGTAACTTTGATGATCATTGTATCTCCACATAATGACTGAGAATAACAGACTTTGTTTTATAAATATTTTGCCATTTATTTGGATTTAATCAAAATTTAAAGAGTGAAAGCCTACTTCTTTTAAATACTGAACTCCTCATTCATTAGAAGGAACATCTCTTGTCCTTTCACAACACATTTTGTTCTTCATTATGAACATACCAACTACTTTCATGAATGGCACATCAAAACCTTGCTTTTGCTTCCCCTCCAGCTTATTCAAACAGCCTGGTTAGGCACTTACGTTGTGACATAGTAAATTGGCTCTTTTTGTGCAAACACTGAGGTTTGAGAATGCCTGAATTGAATGAACAAAATCTACCACTCATCAGAGGCTTAATGGCATTTTTTGCAGATCTTGGATGTCAGAGCATAATGGACATTAAGAACTTTACTCAAGAACTATTTCTTATTGTAGAGAGAGGAACTGTGCACTTCCAGGATGAAGTTATCCTCAATAAAAGGTTCAGTATGTTATCAGTACATGCAATAGCAGCCAGTTCTGAGTGAGTTTCAATAGAATTGCAATGTATTACAATAGGAGCAGAAAAACTGCCCCTGGGGAGAAAAATTACTGTTTCTTGGCTGTAAATATAAAGAAAGAATGAAAGTTCTAGAGTAGGTGGATGAATTGCTGTGAGCTAAAATCTCTACTCAGTTTACCTCCTGACATATTTAGAGCCAGCTGTAGAATGAAACAGGTTTGTAATCAGTACCTAAATGCACAGGTCATAAATACAGGTGCAGCTAAAGTATTGTTGGAATTCAGATGCACTTCAACACCTAAATCTCCAGCTGAGGTCAATAAAGGTTTCTGACATGCTAGAAAAGAATCAAATCTGCAGCAGCTAAACTAAGTGTATAATTAAGATAAATTAATCTCTGAGGGCATTACTTATACAGCATTAGTTTTCTGACTGTAAAGAACCTTCAAAGCATTTCCCAACAAAAAATCTCATTATCACCTCAGGCTGCAGGTTATTAATAGGATTTAACTTTGCAATTAAACTGGTTGTGCTCAGGGCAAAACAATCACAAACAATTCAGGTGAGACTACTTAGTGCTTATTCAGCTGTGGTGACATGAGTAGATGTTGTGTTAAGATTTTTTTGCTTCCTGACTTGAATGTAAAATTCTTGTGGTATTCTGTGTGTCACCTACCACTGGTGCTTTCCATCATCCCCCATGGTGCAATTAATCAGGATCTGTCAATCTGGTTAATGTAAGTGATGCTTTTGGCACCTGTGGTGTGATTTTTAGCTGAGATGCCCACAGGGAAAATGCCTCCCTGTTTTGCTTCTGGGAGGTGAGCAGCAGGACTCCTGCCGCAGGGCAATTCCCTGGGGAGAGTGGAGACAAATCTGATTGTTTTGCTAGTGATAGCATGCTGAAACCAAGATGAAGCATGCACAGTCTGTTCTGTCAGCTGATTTAAACAACTAAAGTAATATCACTACAAAACTAACAGGAGATGGAACTTCAGTAATGCAGAATTTTAATTGCTCAGAGGGCTTATTTTAGTTTTGTCTGGCGTGGTTGAGATTTATTCTGTTGAATTAATAGAAATCTATTTCTGCAGGAAGTTTCATTAATAAATTCATTTGGTTTGTGCTGCTAATATTTTTATGTGCCAGATACAGATTTGGGATTTTCACATTTCCATGCTTGGTTGAAGTAGGGCAAATAGCTGATAAATCAGCCAGGAATGTTTGTACTTTATCAGTCTGTGGAACTAGGCGACACATCTAAGATATATAATTATTTGGAACCAGATCATGACTAAAAGTTACAACTGTACTAAAAAAAAATAGAGCTATAAAGTATAAAGTAAAATGAAATTCACATTGATACTGAAGAAGGCAGTGGTTTTGGGCTGTACTGAAATCTTGGTGAGCTACAGTGACATGCTGTGACTGAAGAAAAAAAATAATTGCTTTGTTTCTGTTTCTGAAAGGCCCAATCTTGTGACACTATTAACTGTCTCTGATGTTTTAAGTAGCAACTGTTCCCTTTTGTGTGAATCTGCTCTGAAGTGTATAAAACATCATCATGCATATTTAAATGACACTCATATTTTTACTTTTAAAAAATGAAAGAGTATTGGAATAAGTATTTTATACCTGACATAATAATATTCATGAATTAATACAATTTTCTGTTATATATTTTAACAACCACAGTTGTACTTGAAAGTAGGTCAAGGGTAAAATTGCCCTCTTTATCATATGCTTGTTCTTTTAAGAGAGGTACTTTTTGGTCAGAGTTTCTATTTATGTATTATTCTTAATCAGAAAATAAAAATATTACGACTGAAGTATGAGCATTTACTAATTAAAACAAATGGTTTGAGTGAGATGTGCAGGTGAAACACATGCAAGAGGATCTTTAGGAGAGGAGTGCCCCCATACCTATCAGTCCTGTGCTGTAGCCTTGGTGCTGCAGTATTTTGGCAAAAGTGGTTTCGTTTGGAGGAAGCCCTCCTGAGCCGGCATTCCAAAAAATAACACGGTAATCATTTACAGCATCCATCCCTAAAAATGCAATAAAAACAATCTGAGTCAGTATAAAGGGTTGACTACTTTTATCCAACATACTTTTCTGTTTCCTGATTTCATTGAAATGGTAGTGTTAAACATTTTTCCTAATGCTGTTTGTTTGGGAAAATAAATCTAAGACCCTAGACGAGATTAAGGAAGAACTAAGGACTAACTTCTTTCATCTTTGTATCTCATATTGAGACTTTTTTTCTCTAATTTCATTTCATTTGGAATTACATGGTTGTGTAGGAGATTTTCTATGTCACAGTGGCACCTGGGCTGTATGCAATGCCCTTCCTTAGTGTGAATGTGAGGGCAGGGAGGAGCACAAGGAGACTTCAGCCCCCTGTCAGCCTCAGACTCCAGCCCACTGAGGGCTGCCAGGGAGCTCAGGCTTTCCTTGCACAATGGCATGGCTGGTATCTGAGCCCCACAGAGTGGCTATTTCCTCTTCACCTGCAGGTTTACACCCTACCATTTAGTATTTTATCCTGGCATAACCCCACCATACAGCGCTATGTAAAGTTCAGTCTGTCATTGTAGCACTGAACATCTCTGGCCCTGCTGTTACAGAGGGGTCTGTACAAGCCCTTTCTAACTACTACTGTTTTCAAACTACCAGTCTCAGTGGGAGCTGTCATGATAAAAGTAGGATGACATATCAGCTTCAAAACGCCTCAGGAATAAAGGCTCCAAAGATAATTTGCAATAGAACAAGCATTTGAGGGTTGCTGTTAGAAACATGTAGAGCTATTTGTTTTTCATACCTCTTCATCTCAGGGATGCAGTTTGACAGGGTAGTGTTTTTTCTTCAAAAACACAATTGGGAAAAATAATATTGCTGTCAAGCTGTTATCTCCTAGGACAGATTAATTTTGACAGATACGTGAAGAAGCTTTCCCATGAATGACTCATTCTGCTCCTTGACTGGAGGGAATGGGCACACATCTGCACAGGTCTACTCTGCTCCCTGCAGGGCTGAGCTGCTTCTGACATCTGGTGATGAGTCACCTCTGACAGAAATTAATTTAACTAGTGCTTTCTAAGTGTGTTGTTACTATTCTTCCTGTTTCACATAATGACTTTTTTGAATGTAACAGTTTGCTCTAACTCCATTCTCACTGCAATCTGTACCACAGAGCATCAAAAGGTAGCCAAAATTGTGCTTTGGGGGAGACCAAGATGCTCTGCAGAGCTTCTCTGCTCTGCTTCCCCCCAGACCAGTTCACAAATACCCTACAAATAGAGAAGCCACGTCAAAGCCTGTCTGACACCTCGTGTGTCTCAGTGAGGATGGAGCAAAACCTCTGTTTGCACACCCTCATTTCTTCTGTGCCCCTTGTTTGACACTGTTCTCTCCGTCAATGGAGCAATGTTTGCAGGGTGTGAGGCTTTGCAAGGCAAACCTGATCGGAGGGGGTATCTGCCCGTGAGGAAAGCTGCTCTGCTGGGCGTACAGAGCGGGGCTGCAGCGATGTGCTGGGTCAGCTTCACTCCTTCCTTGGCCAGGCCATCGATGTTCGGGGTCCTGAAAATGCAACCAGTGCCACCAGATATCAACCAGAGAGTCTTTCAAGGGAATAAGAAATTATATACTTATCTTTATTTTCAGAAGTTTGTTCTATTTGAAGATGACCAGGAAATATTTTTGTAATTTATTTAAATTTTCTCAAGTGATGGGAAAATATTTTTCTTTTTCTTTCTTCATTAAAAATCAGTATCTGGATTAATTTCACGATAACTTCTTTTTTTTTTTTTCCCCTTGTCCTATGAAGAGTCTTGCAGAAGTCATAGAATTGTAGAATGGTTTGGGCTGGAAGAGACCTTAAAAATCACAAAATTTCAATCCCCCTGCCATGGGCAGGAACACTTTCCACTAGATGGGGTTGCTCAGAGCCCCATCCAAGCTGGCTTGGAACAATTCCAAGGATGGGGTATCCACAGATCTTCTCCAGACAGCATGTTCCAGTGCCTCACCACCCTCACAGCAAAGACCTTTCATTCCCCCAGAGCTACCTTTCCTACACTGTTTTCTCAAAGAGCTGTGTATCAGCCTCAGTGTATCAGTGTAATGGTAATTGGGGTGCCACAGGGTGACAGTGCTTGACTAGACAAGATGCTCCATGACTTACAGTACTGATAAGGAAGCTAACAAGGTGCTTCTCATGACATTCTTATCGAGGGAGAAGGAGAAAAAGGGAAAGGAATCCTGCATGTTTTCACACTGTGTGGCAATCTCTCAGGGCAGCATGAATTAAGCCACACATCAGTAAGTAGGTGTGAAGAGGGTATTTTGCAAACAACTGGCAACCAAGAAAAGCAAGCTGCCTAGCATACTAGTTACAGACAAGGCAATATCTTACATTTCAGAATACAATATCCCCCTCTTCCAAGTCAAGGTGCGCTCACTTATATTTTAAATTAGATTGAGCTTCAGTCTTACAGTTTTGTTTTTGCGATTATCAGTTCAATGGTGTTCATAAGAAGGCAAAACCTTCATTAGAATTTTGAAAGATCCTGGATGTTTTGTTGCTTTGTACTTGTTATGGATTTCTCCCTCAAAGACAGCTGCCAGGAAACAACATCTGCAGCATTTCTTATTCTCTACAGCCTTTCACCAGAGGTGCAGTCCAGGGTAACTGGGCAGAGCAGTTGGTGAAGTTCCACCCTTCAGCACAATTGCCATCCCAGTTAGCTGATAAATATTCTTCCTCAAAGGAGCACTGGGTGCTCCCAAACTGCTGTTTCAAAATGCTGCCATTTTCTGCATTTCAGAGAACCTGTTGCTAAGAGAGCCCAGATGCTTGTCACCCGGCTAGTACACCCAGAATGTAAAAAGAAAATCCATGCCTTGGGGATGATGCTGTGGAGGCCTGCCTTTGCTCCCTGTGATCACCAGCTGCCTGTCAGGAACTTGCTGACTGAAGCCTTTCAGGGTAAGACTCCAAAAACGTTGCTGGATGAGGGGAGTGATTGTGGCAAATTTAATTTTGTTCATACATGTTACAAGCCATCAGGCAATACTGTGGCACAATTTTCAAAGAGAAGGCAAATTCTATGTCCTTGAAGCTGAAAAGAGAAATATTTCCTGATAACATTGCTCATTGCAGTCATTTAACTAATTTTGAGGTGAGACTGGAAAAAAAAATGGTAACAGAATTAAAATGAGGTAATGAGGCCTGTGTGTTGGAAGAGGGGACAATGTTTCTACCTTTGGGTGTAGCTGTTTCTAAAGTGTTAGGCAGTCAAGGAATACGCAAGAATGATTGTCATATTCCCACAGTAAAGCAGCACCACACAGCAGAGCTGGCCCTGGGAATGCCCTCCAGGCTGTGAGACAATGGTAGACAGAGGGTTTCATGTTTACAATAAATATCACACCAGCTCTGTTCACCCTTAGGGTCAGTTTCCTTACCTGATAGTGTCATTCCCATAGCAGCCTACATCCCCTATGCCGAGATCATCAGCCAGCAGCAGGACAAAGTTTGGCTGTGTGATGGTGGAAGGATGGGTGAATGGTGCTTGCAGAAGCAGAGCAAAAATCAGGGGTGCAACCAGGGGTGACCTGAAACACAGAAGAGTGAAAGAAGCCAGTGACCTGGCCATTCATCACTCCCCTGCACGTGGCCAGAGACCCTCTGTCGCGAGCTTGGCTGCAGACCAGACCCCTCTGTCCAGACATCAAGTGTTCATCATTTACCCAAATTGAGGTAATGAAGAGGAAAATGTCAGAACTATAACTTCAAAAAATCTCCTTTCCTGATTGTGTCCAAGTTTCCTGTGAGCAGTCTCACATGGGAATTTACATGCAGCAGATGGAATACAAGTGATTTTGCTTCATGGCTTTGGGTGTTTATAAAGGGCTGTTCTGGGAAGCTGAGAATGGGATCAACTTCCTCTGACATGGTTTTTGCCTGGACTGGGATCTTTGGGTAGTGAAAAAGTAAATAACAAGAAAAAAAATTAAAAATCACATTGTGAGAGAAACAATGCTACTCTTTTATAACACAGTATTGCATCATTATTAAGCTTCACTCACTTTAGATCTAAGTATGATACAACAGTAACTCAACTCAACTTTCTTACCAATGAGATGTTAGTTGCCAAATCATTTCTGCATTTGGAGTGTTCAAATCCTGCAAAACCAAGAGTACTCTGTCATAGTTACATCTTCCTAGTAGCAATAGCTTGCCTACCTTTCATATTCTGCAATAAAAATATATTAAAAACTTACTCAAAGCCTGTTAACATTCAGTTTTATTTACTCCAGTGCACCTCAGATCAGACCCCAAATGAAGAAGAGTAAAGGCATTAATGTTATTTTTATTGCTAGCCCAATAGCAAAATATTTCAAAATAGCAAAATAATTAAATTTTCTTACATGAATCATCTATATAAAAATATTTAGTGTTCAGAAAGGAAAAAAATAGTGCTTTAAAATCCAGTCTTCAATATAATTTACATTTCTATAACCACAGACAGTTGCAGCATTGTGCTTTTTCACATAATATGCTAAGTTTCTTTTCAGGCTTGTAAGAGGAATTTTTAGTTGTAGAAATTCTAGTCATCTTTTTCCAACAATTATAACTTCTTGGAAGAATTCATGACCTCTTGTTACTTAACTCTGAAATGAAGAGGTTTCTCTGGGGATTTCCTTCACTGTCAGGACAGTGAGATTAAACTATTTGAAGACTTTGAAGTAGGGGTTGAGTGAGCTTCATTCAAAGCTTTGAAATAGACTGCTTTGAAATTTATCCCACTCCTGGCTCAATTGTCCCAAGCACCTCAGTTTTATGAATTGTGTTTGTTTCATATTTATTTTTGTTTTCCAGAAATGATGTATTAAGCAGTTTAGTCAATATTCATAGTTCTTGCATTTTATCCATCAATACTACAAGCTTCAGTGGGAAAAATTATATTTCTGTGCTTAGAAAACTGGCATCCAAACTCTTATAAGCAGCAGAGCTGAGGCAGCATTGCTATCTAGAGACACTCAGTTTCCTTCATGTGAGTTTGTGCCTTTGCTGCATCCTAAGCAGTTATAGGAAAAGTGCAAGCGAACACCTCAGCCATCTCTAACATTTATATCCAATAAGCCTCCAAAACAGTTGAAGTAAAAGGGAGTTGGACATAATCAGATTTAATTGTGCAGTTGGTTGCCACACAGTAGAGAGGCTCAGATTTAAAGCACAGCTGGAGCTCAAGGCTGAACCTCCCCAGAAGCTCCTGTAAAACAGCAGGCAGTATACAGAAAACAGCTATTGATTTGTTTTACTGACTGGTGTTATCCCTGTCAAGTCATTTCCTCAATGAAAGGTGATGGGGGCCCAGGCAGAGAAATCACAAGCAAACATTCCCCTCTGCTCTCTGAAATGAATTTGGCTTAAAGCGAAACTCCTTCCTCCCTCTCCCGTTGTTAATCCCTCCCCTAAAGTAATTTAGTTTTTGCCCCTTTCTTCATCTGTTTTAATAATCCTGGGAGGAATAGCTTGCATATCTTTCATATTTTATCAATTGTTTTCCTTTATTGATTCAAAGTTTATAATCAGTCTTTACCTTTCTAACAAAATACTTACAAGATACTAAAAATCTCATAAGAGGAAATACTTGTTTTAGACATACTCATATGCAGTTTTCTTGAAAACAGTACATATTTGTGACATCAGCTTGGCAACACTCAGTGAAAAGTCACACAGTTAATACCACTTAATTCAGTGCTATTCAGTCTGTGAAAATTTCTTTTAAAGATTCCTATTTTGTAGACTTGATACAGATAAAAGCAAACCCAGACTTGTAAACACATACCCTGCAGCTCTCATTTTGTACATAGCCTTGTATGAGAAGAATGTTGTTCTAAAGGGAAAAGTATTTTAAAAACTCCCTTGAGATATTTTTATCTACAGAAGGAAAAAAAATTCCAAATAGCCATTAACATTTTGCTGTGTGTTTCCCAACATAGTAAGGGATGAATACAGTACCTGGTCGAGTTGTGTTCAAAGCAGGCAGCTGATGGACTGGTGGTGACTTAAAATGATCCCGAATTTTTCCAGCCCGAGGAGAGCTGCTACTGCGCGGCGTTTCTGAAGGCAGTCCCGAAATGTGCCCTGGCTGCACGTCCCACAGCTCACCACAGGAAAAGCACGCTGTGCCAGAACTTCCAAGCAGCTGCATGCTCTGGCTTCTCATGGAGTCTCCAAGCTGCACTTCCCCCTGCTGTTTGCACAACTCTGACATTCACACAGGGCGTGAGGGTCGGGCTGGGGAACGCCACAGAGGCAGCTGAAATCCTTTCTGCCTAACCACCAGTCTCTCAGGGAATGCGAATAATCTCCTTCGAGTCTGAGACATTCCTGTGAAAGGTACTATAAATAGTAGCTCCCAATAAACATTTCCTCACTTCCACCAAGGAAAAGAGAAAATCGCTGTACTTACGGAGCAGCACTTCTTTGTTGTAGAAATAGAATTTGAGCTAATTTCTTCACTTTATGGCCACTCTGAGTGCATGCTGCAGTGTGGTGGTTGTCTCTGCACATGCTGGGACAAATAGTTCTAGGGTGGGGAGGAAATGTTGTTAAGAGGCTTGAATTTTCTTTTTCAGAAAATGAGTCATTCAGCTTCACTTGTGAGTGCTGCCTGTTTCCTAGCCATCGCTCAAAGGGACAAATTAAGGTTACATGCTGGCTAGTGCTTACTTTCTTGGTTTTTCTTACGTGAGTCCTCTTGTACTGAGTGTTTTGGGACAGCATGAGGCATTACCCAAGAGCAATCCTGCTTTTCTAATAGTTTCCTGCATTTTTGTGTCTTCTGAGAGAAGGGAGATGCTGTGGTGAGTTGGTGGTGTAAATTGCAGTGCTCAGGCTGGATTGCTAGTGGAGCACCTCTGAGGCAAGTTTGAGTACCAAAGGTGATCCCTTCCCTTTTCCTTCCCACCACAGCATTAACATGCTGGAGTGGTTACAGCCAACATGCACAGAAGTGGTGATGTGTCTGGTTTGACTTCTCCCAGTGTTTGCTTTCTGATCCTCACCTGCATTACAGAATCCCAATCTGCACACCTCTCTAGTTCCCTTTCCCCTCTCTGGGCCTTTAGCACTTCAAGGATACATTAAGGTCTACAGGATTTCTTGTTGTCTGATGCCCTCTACTGCTGCATGTTTTCTAAAAAGAAACACCTTCTGAGCTGTTCTGGGTTTTTCTGCCCAGGTTACAATCAATCCCTGCTGACTGAGAGAGCTTCTTTTTGCAGCTGGGGCCATCTCCACAGCTCTCATATCCTTGTGTTTTTTCCAGGACTTCTTTCAAATTCTATAGAGTTCATAACAGAGAACCACAAACTTTAACTGCTATGTTATTTACTAAATATAGAATACAGCAGAAAATTGAATGGATGCCTGCAGTTACACAACAGGAACATGCTGTCTTTTACACAGTCCTCTTCAAGCACAGAGAGAGCCAGACCAGTTTGCTGCTCTAAGCAGCACTTGTTGAAGTCTGGTGCTGAGAATGGCCACTGGGCACACCTATGGTGTTCTGAAGTTAAAGGAAGGTGGGCTGTGCTTGTGGTCTAAAGATTTTCAGAGTGACCACTTGTGCCCATTTTGGTGTTTGATCTTTGAAGGAGGGAAAGGTGAATGCACTCTCACTGGCACTACTTGAAGATGACATTTTTAAAAGGTCTAGGCAAAGCTAATTCTGTTCCCAACCAATGCACTGAATTTGCACTAGCTGGTTTTCTGTGGGGAGATCTTTAAAAAGCCTGTATTTTTTCAGAAGGTGGAATGAATTTTGAATTTTGCAGAAGCCTTGCGTACTCCTGTCTTTTTCCCTAGTTTTCTTTTCTGAGTACTGGAGGCAGTAGCACTGTGTGACGCTATTAAAGCGCTTGAACATCCTGGAGCTGAAGTGGGGTTTGCTGTAGGATAAGATGATTTAGGGGCTCCCTCTAGCGACTACTGCCTTCTGTTTGTTTCAGAGCTCAGCGGATCCACACTCGCCTTTCTAAAAGCCATTGCACAACGATGATGTGATGCTATTTCTTGGAACTCTGATTTACACTAGGTCTTCAAGGCCTGGGTGCCCAGGAACAATTGCAGAGCAATTACCTGTCCTGGAACACACAATATGGGTTTGTAACCTTGGGAAAAGCCTGGCTCATGTATTCCAGGACTGCTCTGACACATGGGTCAAACTGCAGGAGGTAGAGGTGAGTGGGACAGATGCTTCAAAAGTGCTCTCCTGGGCTGGGGTAAAGCAGTAATTCAGATACCCCAACTCCTGTCCAAGGGTTGACTTATCTCATAGCTGGTGAGAAATGCAACTAATATACTTAGAAGGCTGTATGGCAATTAATTGTCCACATAGTTTCTAACAGGAGATAAATACAGTACTGTTTCTCCTGCACCACAGAATGGGTTCAGATCACCTGGGTTTCACTACAAAAAATTAACTGTTCACATCCAAGCCTGCCCTCCAGACTCTGTGATCAATGGTGAAAGACAGTCTCATTGAGGGCAGCCCAGCTGTCCTACAATGCTATTCTGGGATTAGATGAAACGTCCTTTGAAGGTTCCAGTCTATCTTTAATGCCTGTACAGAGAGAATTTGTATGGCTCTATATTCAAGCTAGATTGGAATTGGTTAAAGTGATACCAAACCATACTTTAGTCATTCTAGTAAGCGATCAAACAAATGAATGCTACGATATAAAAAAAAATGATGAAAGCTATTTTTATTACAACATTTTCAATAATGTTCTGAAAGGTGAGTTTTTATTTTTTAAGTTTAAGGAAAAACATCTCATATGAATTAAACAGTCCTACTATTTGAACAATGGAGATGCCTTTAATTTAATTTCTAAAACCTATATACTTCTTATTGTCTTGGGATTGAAGCTGTTAAAAGTGAAGTATTTAGTTATATTTTGAACTGTAATGGAAAAAAGCATAACTTAAAATTCCAGAAGACTAGAAAGTTAATATTTGGAGTAAGATATATTTTTTATTGCATTCTTGGTGTGTATTTCTCAAAACATCCAACTTCAAGGCATAAAAAGGCAGTGACACAAACATGTGAGCATACATGAGATCAAGGAAGCCCCGTGTGAGTACTCTGAGAACCCTCACTGTTTTTTTCTGCAGCACTGATGAGGCCTCATCTCGAGTCCTGTCTTCAGATTTGGGCCCCTCATGACAAGAAAGACGCTGAGGTGTTGGACCATGACCAGAGGAGGGCAACAATGCTGGTGGTGGATCTGGAGCAAAGCCTGATCAGGAGCAGCTCAGGAGCTCAGGGTGTTTATCGAGTCTGAAGAAAAGGAGGCTCAGGGAAGACCTCATTGCTCTTTACCACTACCTGACAGGAGGCTGTAGCAAGGCAAGAGGACTTGGTCTTCTCCCAGGTAGCAAGCTAAATAATCAGAGAAGATGTTGAAAATGCTTCAAGTTACACCAGGGAAGGTTTAAATTAAATATTAGGAAAAATTTCTTCTTTGCAAGAGTTGTCAAGCATTGGAGCAGGCTGCCCAAGGAAATGGTTGGGTCACCACCCCTGGAGGTATTTAAAAGGCATGTAGATGTGATACTTGGGGACATGGATTAGTGGTGGACTTGGCAGGCTGGGTCAATGGTAAGACTTAGATGGTCTTAGAGGTCTTTTCCAGCCTAAACAATCATGTGATTCTCTGTCTGAGTGAGAATGTGTGGGTTCCAATATAAACAAAATAATGAACATAGTTACAGTGAAAAGGGTTTATGGAATCTATGTGAGACAGATTTTGCTGGGAAACTTTCTTCCTCTGATGTTTTACTATCTAAGGACAAGAAGATCAGTTTTGGGAGAAACAAAGCCCAACACAAATGCAACCTACTTAAGAAATCATGATTCCCAATGAGAAAAAAAAATGTCTCTACTACTAGATATGAGTTGTTTCTCATCTATATAGTGTAAACATTCTCTCCTAATTTCCTTCTCTTAGCCACTAGTATCTGATTGAGAGATCTGTGAATTTCCTTGAAATAAACATTTTTTTTTTATTTTACTTTGGTTGAATGAATAAATTGTAGGAAAAGTTTTTATTATAATATTTAAAGATAAAACAACTCATACCAAAAGCATCTTAACCCCTCACCATCTGCTGCTGAGAGAGGCTCAGAATCACCACAGCAAAGGGCTAGGACAGACGCAGGTAGGCAGAGCAGAGTGAGGCTCACAGCACTCAGCAGTAAACACTCAGCTTTCTCATTGCCATTACCATAAATTTGTGAACTATCAGACAGGATTTTGACACTTAGCTGTATCATTGCTTTTGGAATTCAAAGAAGGCCAAGTTTCACCATTGCAACCTCTGTCCTCACATGCACAGCTAAGTCTTTCCTTCAGCTGTGAGGGACTGTCTTGGGCTTGCTCTGCAGAGCTGCGGTGAAGAGAGAGGAGACCTGAGGCTCACATTTGATTCCCCTCCCAGGCTCAGGACAGTGCCCTACTTGTTCAGCAAGTGCACTAACCACCAGCTATTATCTGAAATCAGGTCAGGACACCACTTCCTCCTCTTGTGGGCCAGGTTTTGGAATGAAACTGTGTCATGCTCTGGGCTTTCATCAGCAGGGGTGACTAGGCTGTGAATGTCAAAGAGGTGTCAGCTTGAGATAAGCACTGACTCCCTTCTGAGGGGAACTGAGGGCCCCACATGTGGACTGGTTCCGTCCCACAGTGATGGGTCAAGTCCAGCCTCTCACCCACCAGCACTCCCAAATCCATTTCAGCCAGGCTGTTCTTGATCTGTTTATCCCCTTAAATGCCAAGTTACAAAGTATGCCATGAAGACTGTCCTCTTTCATTTGTTTTTGTATGCCATTATCTGCTTATTCTAAATTTGGGAAGCTACATTGTGTGAGGTGTTAACTTGAGTGTCTTTTAGTCACAGTGAAAAAAAAAAAGGTAATTTTCAGTATGATTCACCTCAGCCATGAATCATTTACATAAGTAAAAGCCAAACTGACACAGAAGTGCCTGTTTCTCCCTATGGGCTAAGGTCAGGTATTAGAGAGTTACCTCAAAACATGGAGG